GGCCGTGTGGCAAGCGCACATGATGTGCGCTTGCAAGTCTGAGTACATGTGATTACCCCTTAAAAATGGAATACTACCTTGAGTGTTCTGTTTCTGTCTCCAACACGTCTTCACTTCGGCTACCTGGGTCCCATCCCTGTCTTCCGTAGCTAGTACCTAGAGTGTTCTCTGTCCCCCAAAGGTCTGGTCTGCATAGCATCCGGTTGTTTATCCCTGAAACATTGGTCCAGTCACGTTCTGTTCATTTTTGCAAACAGGCGTCACACTCCTTGAGAGAAGTCTTATTTTGAGAGCTGCAGTAGTCATTTCAGAGTGGCGAACTCCTTTTAGGGTTGAGCTAAGCATATTGGAGGCATGCTGGTGAATGTCTATGGTGGGAGAGGTCACTGCCACCTGCTTTTAGGTGTGGGTGGCTTTGGAAGGTAGGAATGATAGAGTATAGTGCTAATGGAGCACCATGCAACAGGGTTACTTGGAGCAGGAGGTGGAGGTTGTAGGGTGTGGTGGTGACCATACTCGCAACCACACATGTACACTGCATGCTTTCACTGTGACGCTCAGTGCAGTGCAGAAAAACTGGGTGTGGTGTACCAAAAAAAAGAAAATGAAAAAGAATCGTTCTTGATCTTCATAAAATCAAAGAATACGATTTTGAGAGAGTGTGTCGTCCAGAAGTTGCTGAAAGTAAGGTTCTACATCACATATGTTTTTTAAACTTGATTTAACTTTTTTATAGTTTTCTTTTTGTTTTTGTCTGCTTTTAACTTGGAGCAGGAGGTGGAGGTTGTAGGGTGTGGTGGTGACCATACTCGCAACCACACATGTACACTGCATGCTTTCACTGTGACGCTCAGTGCAGTGCAGAAAAACTGGGTGTGGTGTACCAARAAAAAGAAAATGAAAARGAATCGTTCTTGATCTTCATAAAATCAAAGAATACGATTTTGAGAGAGTGTGTCGTCCAGAAGTTGCTGAAAGTAAGGTTCTACATCACATATGTTTTTTAAACTTGATTTGACTTTTTTATAGTTTTTCTTTTTGTTTTTGTCTGCTTTTAACTTTTTGTTTGTTCTTTTTGCATTTTTTGTGCACCTGCATGACATGTGTGGTGCATGTGCAGCACGGCACCACATGTGCGGAAATGCGTGCACGGCATGCGCTTGCAAGTATGGTGACCTAATGTCACCTAAGACAATTTTTTGTCATTTTTTTGAGAAGCTTGTTCTATGCATGAATTTCACTTCTATACGACGCAGTTACAAACTGATTATGCTATGCTGTTAGGTGAATATGTGTGCATGTGTATGTGATCATCAGTGGGGCCTGGTCCTCAGAAACTATGTTCTAAATTTAGCGTTCGCTTTCAACCATAGTTGCGGCGCACCTCGGTGCGCGGATTTGCGCACGAATTGCGCACCGCACCGCACTGGAAAAATTAGGTCCACGAAAAAAAAAAGAGAGAAGGCGTTTTGGAGATAGCAGATATCTGGCGCCAGGTTCAGGGTGAATAGGCTCACCCCTCCCAATCTCCTGCTCAGTCAATCCCCTGGTCCTCAGGGTAATCAATGCTGGCAGGATCATACCGCACTTTTCTGAGGTGACTTAATGTGACTTGAACTTTGTCTATGTAAGGGACGCTAGACCCGGTTTCCAGCAGGTGCTGCTCCCCACCAATAGATGGAGCCCCCCCCAGGTGCTGGTGGTGTCTGCTCTTACCAGCACCACTAGCACTGACGGGTGGTTTAAAAAAAAATAAAAAATAAAAAATAAAAAAAATCTTAGGGCCCCCAACTCGGCAAATATAGGGCTCATTCCATCTTTTTTTTTTAGGCGGGGTATGGAAGATGTTCTTCCCGCTACTCAGTGGTGTGGTAAGTTCGCAAAAAGGGCCAGTCGCCTGATAACTACCTGCCCCGCGAATCATCGCAGAGATCACAAATTACGTTTTGTATGGCCAGCCGACCACCAATATATGCTGAAGATTGGCGTTCAGGTCTGCATGTCGGCAGTTATGGGTTACCGCGCGAGCTCAGAAACCGGACGCACCCCAAAGCTCGAAATTTTCTTTTGGGTAAGGGCTGCCAAATTTCGATTTCCGCAGGCCCTTCCCCCAAAAGTTTCAGAATGGCGAAGCATAAAATACTTAAAAAAATAGGGCTCATTCCATCTTTTTTTTTAGGCGGGGTATGAAAGATGTTCTTCCTGCTCCCTTCTGCAAATCCCACACGCTGGTGTGGTAAGTTCGCAAAAAGGGCCAGTCGCCTGATAGCGACCTGCCCCGCGAATCATCGCAGAGATCACAAATTACGTTTTGTATGGCCAGCCGACCACCGATATATGCTGAAGATTGGCGTTCAGGTCTGCATGTAGGCAGTTATGGGTTAGGATGAAGACGCCCGTGGCTCTCTCGTTTTCTTGTTTTTGTTTTCTTACGAATACGTCCAGTGGGGCCTGCTCCACTACTCACCAAATGCACAAAACACATAGCATATGGCGGTGTATTAGCAGAAGATTCATTCTACTAATATTATATACATTTGGTGAGTGGTGGAGGGAGGCCCTGAGAATCACGTGGAGACACGAACAGGGTCTAGCTGAACTGGTGACCCATAACTGCCGAGCTACAGCCCTGAACTCGAATCCACAGCATATATTGGTGGTCTGCCCCCATGTCTTTCATGCATGACGAGGCCATCCTTCTCAGTGAAGCAGCGGCCCTCAATAGCTCCCCATGCGTTGTAGGAGCCATTCGTGGTACCTGCAGGGGCTCTCGAATTGACATAAAGGGGATCCTTTTTTGTCTCTCTCTCTCTCTCTCTCTCTCTCTCTCTCTCTTGGGCCCTCTTTTTTTTTATTTTTTTTATTTTTTTATTTTTTTATTTTTTTTTTATCGCGCACATAGCGCACCTCCCTCAGCGCACGCAATACGCACGGCGCACAGTGCGCGCGCTGTCATTCGAGCGCACAGCGCAGCGCGCACCGCCCCGCCCCGCACAGCGCACTTGTGCGCCACAACTATGCTTTTAACCCGGTCGATAGGCTGTAGTGCAGGCCCCGTTACTGTAAATTGCATAGCAAGTGCAAGGAAGATGAGCAATAGCGAATTCCAGAACTCAAACAGCATCATACACGAGTGACCAAATAGCCATGACCTCGAATCATAAGCAGAATGGCATCACGAGTTATACCAAATAAGAACACAGCAATAGTTCATAATTGACAATGCTGAAATTGTCTCTCATCACCATCAACGAAGAACAAGAGTTGGTATCCTATTGGCGCTCGGCGCCCAGACTACAAGATGGCAGATCCTA